TATATAATATATATATATATATATATATATATATATATATATATATATATATATATGTATATATGTATATATGTATATATGTATATGTATATCTTGGAAACCAAGGGGTCCTCTACGTTCGTTAAGCTGCGCTTAAATAAACTAGTACGTACAATTATTTCTTCGTCGTAACTGTAAATTTGTACCCGCAAGAATGAAGTTTTCACCGACGTACAGTCATCGTCGCGTCAAGAACCACAAGAAGTACGTCTTCGTGCATCACAGACGCCTCGGCAGATGTCTCACCAATCAATCGTCAACGAATCAATTGCTGACTGTGTAAATAATTTCGAATATTTGGCGCGAAACCTGCGTAAAGTATTCACCTTTTAGGTGTTCTTTTATAAAGTAATGAAAACAAACCTTCTCGCAAGTAACACGCTTATTTTGCATCATTGAAGTATAAAATACTTCTAGAATTTGAATTTTCTAGCTGACATAAAACCTGAGATTGGTGTCGAAGATTATAATGAAATTTGGACGTATTATTTTAGAATATTTTAATACATTTTTTTATTACTGTACAGGATGTTTCGAAAAATAAATTATTTTTAAATATTAATTCGTTTTAATTAATTTATCTATTGGATTGGCCAAAAAGTTTCATATTCAAAATTCATATATCATTACATTATTGATTATATCAACTCCTTTCCATATGATTTTATATATTTTTTATATTGATATTAAAATCAACAAATAATATAATCAAATATATTAAATTGATTGCTGCGATTTTTGTATTAGAAATAACACGAATAAAATATAATTTTATAATTATATAATGTTATAGATTAAATTAAATAGTTTAAATTAAATTTTACTATTTTATTAGAATGCAATGTACTTTTATGTTAAATGAAAATTGTAATCTTTTACACAAATTTGTGGATTGAATTGATATTATAAAACAAGAGAAAATGCTTAATAAATGCATTTTATGTATAAATGTATAAATACATAAATATATAAAAAAAAATCCAAATAATTAAATTATAACTAAATTATAATGATAAAATAACAAGATATATGTTGTTATATGTATCATCATTGTTACAGATATCATATAAGCAAAAATACTGTGTAAGTTCAATAAAAAATGCAACATATGATGAAATGCAATAAATGATCACATGTTTTATCATTATTAATTTCCTTCTGTAAAAATGATTTTCTTTCATGATAAGAATTTACAGAATTTATTAAAGACGACTTCCTAAATCAAATATTATGGATAATAATCAAGTAAAAGCTTTCATAATATTTATATATATAAATAGTTTTATGATATTAAATCGAATATAAAAATATTTCCAAAAATTTGAAAAATTTAAATTTAAGAGAAAAATACGAAGACTTTTTAGCCAACTTCATAAATAATCCTAAATGTTTTCAGTAACATTCTTTAATCCTAAATAATTTTCAGAAACATCCTGCACAGACGCGATAATATTGTGGTATTTAATCAAAATATCCAACCTCTGAATCCATTGAATTTCGTTAAAATCTTCGTGTAGACGAACCGAGAGATTTCTTCACTAATCTAACTGCTGAGAGAACAAACTTGGCAGTACATGAAGAGTACAGCTGGTGATTCCATATTCGTTCGTTAAATGAACTACCCCCTTTAGGGGCGATTATAGTTGCCATACAGTCCTCTTATCTCGTAAAAATAATCTTAAATAAATCTTGGTAAGGCAGTGCCAGCTCGATGATACATGTATGGTGGAGGAGGCGGACCAGTGTAGTGCCTCTGATGGGGATGAGGAAGGGAGGATCTATGGGATCCCATCGTCCCGCTCGAAGGTGAAACATGTTGCAAAAGATGGGAAGTTCCATCCCCTAGATCCAACTCCAGCTCCTGTTCCTCTATCAGTTGCAACGCTCCAAACGAGGCCGTCGCCATCGCAACATCAGGCATCACACCCGACAATTGTCCATCGCTACACGAATTGTTCTCTTGTTGCTGAAAAAGTAAGATGGAAGAATGAAAATTGATTTAAATGATTTTTAAAAAAGTATTTTCATTAGATCATAATTAAGAAATATTGAATATTTTCTTTAACTTAGAGTACAATTTATGATAGCTGAGTTAAAAATGATCTGTTGAAAAAAATTTTCAAAATTTTATTTAATTTTTATCATGTAATAATTATTTCGAATTACTAAATTGACCCAATCATCAAATCAATTAATAAAGAATTAAATAAAATAACAACATGAATTATAAAAAAAAATTTTAAGAAAATTATATGAAATATAATATCATAACAAATGTTCGGATAATTTTAATAATTGTAATAATGTTTGAACGTGAAATTGCAATATAATGAATTAATTCTTTAACTTATGAAATAAAGCAAAAAAGTCACAATAACAGAATGTAAAATATTTGAGATGTAATTTTATATCAAAAGAAGTTACGATTTATTCTCATTTAATAATTAAAATTTACCTCAGCAAGGAGTCTACAACTTTCGCCTTCCGTAACTATAGCTGGAAGTTCGTGTCTATGAGTGCAAGAAGAGGCTGGCCGTGGAAACGTCAAGTTTCTTCCGTAGCACAATGGTGGAACTGTTCTAGCATTGATCCCTAAACCCGGTGAATCCATATCTTCGATATCAGTTAGCCTTTCATTTTGCTCTTTCACGTTGTATGCAGCTGTATTCTGCAAAAAAATATGAAACAAACAAATTTATTTTTAAAAAATACAGATATTTATTATCTAATTTATTATTATTATCACTTCTATAAATCAGATTTACATCTAACGTAGAGTAGAATATTTAAATTGCAAAGAAATTTTTTCATGAAAATATAATAACATGACGTCTAATGAAATAATATATTTGATATTTATTAATAATTCTTACAAAAAAAGTATTTATACATTATTTGATATTCAACCGATATCTAGAATATTTTAAATTCATGTTTATCTATATTATATTTATTTATATTTATGTTTCGAAAAATTTGAATAATTAAATATTTATTCATACTTATAAAATTTGTGTGCATTTAAATTTGCAATATTTAAATTTTGAAAAACTTAAATGCTTTATTAAATATTTATTCAAAATTTTAATTATTTTTAAAGAAATTTTTAAAAATAATAGATATGGAAATTTAGTCGAAGGTTATTTGATAAAACATTATTAACATCATTAACGTATTATTTCTTATTAACATATATATTGTTTATTCGTATTTAACACAAATTATATGTTAAAAAATTTCAAAGAATTGAACACATTGTATCAACAATATATATACATATATATCATTATATAAGCATTGTCAATTATGCATCATTAACTATATGTATATATATCAAATATCTATCTTCAGCTATTTACCATATCAATGTTATATTGATATATTTTATTTAATATATTTTTAATTGTCAAAGATATTTTTATATTTATATTTTATAAATATTAATACTATTTAAAAAATATAATATCTTCACTCTTGCTTAAAAGTTTTACGTTATATATTATATCGAAAAAAAAAAATAACTTCTATTTTCTAGATATAGAAAAGTTAAGTACATTTATTTTCCTATGTATCGAACAATGTTTTACTCTTTCAAGGATAGAAACCATAAATTGTCCTTTTAACAAGGAAACAAGTCATCAGGTTGAAACTCATTCATGCAAGTAAAAGCGCGCTTAATTTGTAAACTGTACCAGCAAGGTTTAAATCAAACTTTCTAACTAAAACCTTGAACCTACGAAAGCTCACACCTAGCGACATTCATTAACCATCAGAAATCCAGGGGTATTTAAACAAGATCCCATGACTTAATCGTCTCTATAAAGTCTGACGTCAAGCAGTACGAGTGCGAAATTAGATTAAGGGATCGTTGAATCTCTCTTATTGGTCTCTCATCGTGTAATCTACACTCTAACGCATATTACATATTCGATTTTAATCCTTATCGAGGAGATGGGGATATCATGAATAAGCGTTGAAAAGAGGGAGAAAATAGGGGTCAAAGTCAAACGGTAACGAAGCTTGGCTCAGTTGCCGCGATTCCACTGTGCCAGCCAGCTGCATTCAACCGCTCCTATAATTTCTTCTAACACTGCAACGATTATTTTTGGATGATACTTCATTAAAGGTTGGTATCTCAACTGCCATCTTAAACTTGTCACGCATCACTACATTCAGCGTTTTAAAAATTTTTTAACTAAAAATTGTTTCATTTCGAGAAAGAAAATATTGCTTGAAGTTTTTTTTATAATTAATGAATTATTTATAAGCTTTGAATATTGAAGAGTTAATTTAAATTAATAATTAATTATTAAATTGTCAATAATTAATTAAAATCTTATATATTATTAGATTACAATATTAATGTCCCTATGATTATCGAATATTATTTTGTACTATTAATTATTATCGTTCAATAATTGTCAGATCTGTTAATTATTGACAATCCTTAGATGATTGCAATATTTATAGATTAGATAGCAAAATTAAAAATTTCAATCGTTAATTTGATTATAATTTAATCATAAAATTTTTATTTATTATTCCTTATATGTTATTTAATATTGAATGAAATAAATAAAGTGACAATCATTGAAACATATACTTTATATAATTTTTAATAAAAATTTCATTCTGTGACAATATTCTTGTTGTTTCGCTCGGTGTCTAGATTAGATAAATTTGAGAGTTTGAATCAAGTTTGAATCAAGTTCAAGCTTGGAATTTTCTGTTTAAAATACTTTTTCTTTTCCATGTTTTGTGCAATTCTTGTGAAATTGTGCGATATTCAAAATTAAAAAAAAAAAGACTTATATGAAAATTTTAATTTTAGGTTCGTTTCAACTGTTTTTTATTTTTTGTTCTTAAAAGTTTAAAAAAAGTTTATTTACATTTATAAGATTTAGTATCAGAGTTTTAGAATTTTTTATCGATCATAGTTGCATAGATCCTCGCATAATCAATGCAATTCGATCATTGCATAGTCGGTTAACCGCGATTGCATAATCACAAATAGTTGCAAAATAATCAATTAGAAAATTACGCATAAAAAAAAATTTCCGTATTTTTGTCTGACAATGCTATGACATCTTATTTCGATGACACTGAATATCTCAATAAGTTTACATGAGAATATTTCATAATCATACTTTAAATACACAGAATATTTACTATTTAAAAATTCTTAAGATTAATCTTCTTATCATGATTATTTCATTTATTCGAATATTTTTAAAAGATTATTTTATTTTTGAAAGTTGAAATATATAAAAATTATAAAAGTTAATAAAATAAAATAAATATACATAGTTATATTTATATTTAGAACGTATATATGAATATTTTAATGAAAATCAATATTAATTTTGTTAAAAGTATTTGAATGTTCTTAGCTTCTTACCATATTTTTAATATTAATAACCTTATTTTTATATTTATATTTTTATATTTTATTTATTTCTATATAATATGTATGTAATATAAATATGTATGTAATACAAAATTATAATTTAATATTATAATTTCATCGAAATTAATTATTTGATTAACTGAAAATGTTAAATATTT